TACATCCTATGTTAAGCAGATGTATAGCTCAGTATGTTTGAAAAGTTTCTAACCATATTTTCAGAAAAACAATGTTTTCAAAAATAAATGTATCCATACCCATTTTAAGGGGTATTTTCTTTGTGTTAAAAGGTTTCAACCAATCATAAGAGCTGCAAACAATAGCCAACTGAAGAAAACTTTACGTTAATTTTAAGTTCCTGACATGGGATATCTGTTTTATTCAGGTCATGTGAATTTGTTATAAGGATTCATATACATGCTGCTTTTCAAAGTTTTCTTGAATTTTGCTGCCTAAACGAATCAGAAGTATTATTATTATATTAGTACGGACAACAGTAAAGTGAGCACCTTTTTGCATTTCAACTTGTTTAAATGTTGACTTTATTAATATTAATGTTGCATTCTAATGCTCTTAAAGCCGAGTCTGCAGGCAGAGCAAGTTTGTGTAATCGTTTGCTTTTAAGGCAACCACCATGACATTCCAATCTTTCCCTTTAAATAATCTAATAAACTCACATGTTGGCCTACACATTATGATTAATCAGGGTAAGCCTCGTGCAACCACTAAGACATCACAGTAGATTTAGGCTGTTATTATCAGTTAAGCTGATCAGTATTGAGCATATGACCTTCATTGAGGAAGGCTTTAAGTTAAAAATGGCAGTATCAAATTAAAATAAAAATCAATAAGAACTTCCCTTGGTCACACCTTGACCTCTTAATTAGGTCAAGTTTCTTTTATTGGTGTGTTAATCAATTCATGCATCTGCATGGGTTGCATTGAGAGAGACATTCTGGAACAATAAAACAGTGTGTGACTGAATCAATGTATCTATTCATGCCATGGCTTGAAAGAGGCAACGTCAAGGAAAGCATCTAGAAGGAGACAAATTAATATTAATGTATTCTGTACAATAACATGTGTGTCGCTCAGTTCTTCACACTCTTCCCAGTACTCCTCAAATTTCAAATCCCAAATGCTTTGGTAGCCACATAGTTTAACAAAAGTATAAAAAATAATTAATGAATAAATAAATAAGTGCTCCCTTGCCCCAAAATAAAGAACTTGCACTGTTTGTCAAGCCTGCACATTATTTCCCCCACTATTAATTCCGAGGCAAGGTCATCCAGACATCGTAAAAGATAATTCATGATCGCTAGTAGTATTATTCCATTAATTCAACCTGTCAGAAAACAACAGAAAAGTTTGCAGACACTGAAAGACATATAGACTGCAAGCAGCCTCTCTTTTGCTCGAGAATCTGTAAGGGAGAGTATTTGAGCAGCGTATTCGAATTTGCACCCTCACAACTCATGGGACTTCACTGCTCAAATACTCTCGCTTACAGATTTTTGAGCTGAAGAGAGACTGCTCACAGTCTAAACGACATACAACATAAAAATAATGTACCAGTTTTATGAAACCTTTACATGTTGTATTTTATATTATACCTTCAGGGGGGAGCCAGCCTGGCATAAAGACTCAGTTCTTCTCTCTTTGCACCCTCACTCATCCTGATCTTTACCATCTATTTTTATGCATATGAGGTTGTTATAAATAAAAAAGAAAAACTTGTATAATTAGAATTAGGCAGACATCCACAAAATTTGCTGCTTTCTGCTTATTACTTTCTATGCCAGCTGCTCGATCGGAGACGTTAGGTGATAGAGCTTTTATGGTAGCAGTGCCAAGGCTCTGGAACTCTCTTCCAAAAGAACTTCGTGCGATTACTAATGTGAACAGTTTTAAGGCGCATATTAAGACTTATCTTTTTAAAACTTTATATTGGTGAGCAATTTTATATTCACTTCTTACTTGCATGCATATATATTCTTTTTATTTTTTAATTATTTTGTTTTATTTTATTTTATTATTATTTTTTTAACGCATTATCTTTTATTTGTTTCTTTTAAGTAATGTAGTTGTAATGCGCAGCTGATCATTCTCATGTTAAGCTGCGCACAATAAGTTCATAAATTATTATTTATTATTAGAGATATCCCCTAAATACAGGTTTGTTTCTCTTAAATTATGGAAAGAAATATTTTGCCACATTTCGAGCTATTCGACTGCTGAATACAGGGTGTCTGCTTAATATGGGTCTGCATAATAAAGATTTCACCATACAATGTAGAAAATGAGTTAATTAGGTTTTCACTGAGGAGGGGAGGTACAAGAAATAAGACATAATTATAAACAAGAAGCTATACACAGCTTATTGCAGTAGTTTATGGCCCCGTCCACACATATCCAGAGATTTTTGTCTCCGCAAATTTTTTTATTTTTATGCGGATACACCTAGCGTCCACACGTGTCCGCCGTATACGCTCGGTGTATCCGGAGATTTCTGTATACGCTCTCCAGAGTGGAAATTTCTGTATACGCTGTGTATCTGGATACGTGTGGACGCTTGTATCCGTATATTTTTGTATACGCTGACGTCTCAGTATCAGAACCAGTCTTTTTGCGCATGCTCTGTTGACTAATCCTTTGAGATGTCCGGATACGTATCGGATACGTGTGGACGGTCGTATACGATTCGTATACGCTACGTGTGGACGCAGATATTTTTGTATCCGCATAAAAAAATTTGCGGATACAAAAATCTCCGGATACGTGTGGACGGGGCCTATATTCTTAACACTTCTGAGTGCTTTCTATAGAGAAAAAAAGAAAAGACTACATTCAGCAGCCAACACCTAAAACCATGAGTGCCTACAAAAGTAGACAAAACTTGCTGGATCTATAAGTGCCAAACATCAAAAGGTCCTATGCATCCAAACCTCTACATTTATTATCCATGCAGCAAGCTTATATTATTTAACACATAACAAATGTTTGGGGTTGTATGGAAATCTTACCTATACATTGTGGTGCAGGATCTGTAAAGGTTAATTATTACAGGTGTATGAGAAAACTATGAGGCTTGGTAAAACCACATAAAGTAAATAAACTCCAGATGCGATTATCATACTGTCGTATTTATTTCAACACCGTTTGCAACGTGAAAAACACAAATAACTTTACAAAATTAAAGCTTTTACAAGCAAAAATCGGTTTCAGAATACACACTAAGTGGTCTTTGTAGTGTTTAAGCCTCGCGAGTAAATAATTCGTGAGCTCGTTGTATTGTCAATTTTTTTAGAGTAAGAACCTTTCAGAATTCGGCAAAATTCTAGGGTCCATTTTTTTGAAGGTATGAAAGGACTTCAAAGTTGCAAAAAAACGTTTCAGATTAACTTTAGCAGTATTTTTTTGCTCGAGGGAATGTTGACAATTACAGTTTAATCGAGTAGAAGAGGTGCGTAAACTCGACATTTAAAGACAAATTTTCCCCCGACATCAAATTCAACCGACTTATGAGGAAAAAAATGAAAACAAATCTTAACGAAAGTTCGAGATCTCAGTTAATCAGGACAGAAAAAACTACAGAGAAACGGCTCCTTACCTCGAGCAACGGGGCCACCATTGTCTGCACTAACGAAGAACAACACAAATTAGCTGCACAAAATACCTTTTTCCCTAACTTGGCGAGTCGACAGGTGAAAACAAAGCGCTACTTTCCTTCTTAGGATTGGAAGTACAATTTACGGCTGAATTTAAACTTCTGGCGATTCCATGCAACCCATTAGGCTATTGTTTCCGATTTGATTTGCAATGTTTGAAAATTCTGTAAAGATCAAACCTATTGTTTACCGAATATTAACCTCGCCGCGAATATTCCACTTCTATTAACCTCGTGTTCAATAAAGAATAATTGCTAATTGTCCAATGTGAAGTGCGGAACAAAATATCAATCAAGCAGGAAAAGAAGTGTTCCACAAGATTCCCGCCTTCCCGGTCATGTCCTTGACAAAAATACTGGAAACCTTTATACGTTCTTTTCCTTCCTCTTTCAATAGAAAATACGTCCACATGGTCACTTGAACGGTAACGCATTTATCCGGGCCGCAATGCTACTTGTCCTTTTTCCAGCTGTTCAAACAAAAACGATGGTCACGCGGTCGCTTTAACCGATTTCTACCGTTGCTTGTAAAGGACCCTTTTGTGTTGAAGCTTTAAGCAGTTTCTACGGTAGGTTCTTTGTTGAAGAAGGCCAATTTATCAACTCCACATCGTCCCTTCACTTGTGCCGCCATTTTTTTTATTTGTTGACGCCGCCTCGCTTTGGCTCTCTGAATCGTGAAAGCGAGTCTTCCGGAAGTCAATCACTTTACCGGAAACTGTTTCCGTGTGGTCCGCATAGTTCTAAAAATAACTTTTTTGGGATTAAGATATCCCGGCCAACGCCCTGAGTGTCCCTCTCTGTCCTATTATGGCTCTTGATACTACTTATTAACTGAGAGTGAAATCTCAGACTGAGTTTTCCCTGTAAAGACGGAACGGACGAGGTTAACTAGTTATTTATAATATGGCCTTTTCATCATAGCCAAAAGATAACGTTAAAACAACACATCACCAAGAGTTGTACACTTAAGCCCGCAATATAGTCAGGTGACTGGTCAGTGGATACCCTTTCTGACAGCTGTCAGTTGTCCATGACATGGATGGCCGTAAGAATGTCCGCTATCAAGTGATTCATAGTCAGTGAATATAGCCAGTGCAAGTTTAGGCTTACCAGAGAAAGGAATACAATCGATTAGAAGTGTTACAATACAAGAGTCAATAAATTCAAAATGTTGCTGCACTTTTTAATATTGTTGAAAACGGGTTGCAGCAAGTTCACTGCGTTTCAGCACTTCGAAATGGATCACTGCAAAGCTCCTTGATCGCAGTTTACATGCGTTAAATGTAAATATACGTGTACAATATACTGGTATCACAAAACAAAAAGATAAAACTTTTCAAATTAATATTTTGATGAAAGCAAAATTAGCCTTGCAACAAAATTTTTTCACAGCAAACATGATAGAGATATGTGCTGGTTTTAATTGTCTTAAAAAAAAATCTAAATTAAACCATTCTGAACCAATTAATTCTACATAGTCTAAGGTCCAAACGAGTACGTTCCTGATGCTGACTTGAGTGGTTATACTTCACCCAAATAGTTCCAATGTGGATAAGCCTTATTGGTTTCCTCCTTCCCTCTCTACCTTGAATCTTCTAGAGATTGCTCCAAAATCCGCATCTCATTTCTAGACATAGGACACAATTCTTGCCCCATTTCAGACTATAGCGGTTTAAATCTGCCCAATTTTTCAAAACAAAGCTTCGCTGATTGGCGCCACACCTACATACATGTCATATTTAGCGTATAGAAGATTCAATTGTCTGAAACAAGTGACTTTTCACTTCCGCAATGAAAGCCTGATCACAGCAAGTCGTTGCCCAGTACCTTCAGTCGCGTTCTTGCGTGCACCTGATTTTCCCTTCCTAAAATTTCCGTATCGCCTTCCGATGAAAACGACAAAGTCATCTTCTTTACCTACGTGACAGCCTTCCCGATCGCCTTTTTAATTTGGTTCAACCCAAAAGCTTTTTAAAAAATTCAAACATCCCAAGCTCTGTTCAGAGAAAGGGCCCTACGGAGATGGCAACACGGAAAATTAGAAAGGAGGTCGTCCTAAGCTTAATAGGGTGGACGCGTTTCTATTTTCTGTTCTAGAATGTGACGACATGTCAGGAAAATAACAAGAATTCACTTAAAAGGCTGCCAAGACGGATTTCACTGCTTTCACATGTTCACATCATGAATTCTTTGAACCACTTTATACCTAATCTAAATGTTGGCACAGATTATTTATCAGAAACAAATAATAATTTTTAAGACTACTGAATACAGTTTTTTTTCTTCTCTTCTTACCATCCGTCACAAAATAACTGGCGTGACACTGAGCGCTAGGCTTAGGTGAACTAAACACACTTGCATTCATCAAGACAGGTGGTTATCTGGTCTGTGTTGTCACCATCCTGATAACATCCGCCAGGAGGAGGAAAGCATTCTCCACAAAATTCTGGATCCTTAGCGTCCATAAAAGGTTCGTCAAAGTAAACGTCCACATTTCGTTTCTTTGGACAGTGGCATTCTGACGCACACGTCTTAATCTGATCTCCATTGTCCCCTACCTGATAGCATCCTGGAAAGCACTTTCCGCATTCTTCAGCTGGTTCATTCATGTAGGCGGGTCTGTCAAACTCAGCCTTTGTTCTGAAGTATCTTGCACGAAGCTCTGAAATTGTAAAGTGAAGAAGTAAGTAAGCAAGGTAATTTTTCAGTGCTACCCCGTCAAGACAGACTGCAAGAAGTCGAGTCGAGTCTTTGCGGTACCGAAGAGAGCGAACGAGCCCAGAAGGGAGCTATCTGCTCGCGATACAATCCTAAGGGCCTGGTGCTAGCAGCCTTGAGTGGCTATTTTGGTGAGCTTGTTCGAGAAAATGGTTTGGTTCTGTTCGAATTCAACCATGGGACTGTATTTGATTTAACGGAATCGTTTCTTTTATTTTCAAAGGAGTTTACGCAACAAAGACGACGACTTTGGCGAAAACGTCTCTTAAAAAGTGAATTCACGCTTTTTCAAAATTCATCCACCATATTCTATGTCGTTCAATTTGTCAAATGTTGGATAAAGGGAGCGAGGAGAAAAAAGAGAGGAGAAGAGAAAAAAAGCAATGATTGTAATGTTAGTGTTTTAGTTTTGGCTACTTTGGACGAAAGAGCCGCAATTTTAAAGTAACGTTTTTAAAAATCCAGCTAGAAATCAATAACAAACTTCACCTTGACTTATATCTAACAAACCATGAACACTCCCAGAAAGAGAGAAAAGAAAATGAAAGGAGAATTTTAAAAAAAGCCCAGGGAAGAAAAAATGAAACTGATAATTAAAGTTATAATTTCTTTCAAATATTTCGTCGTTTCTGATTGGCTCCAATCCCCCAGCTAATTCTCTATAACCAGCCGGCACTTGCCATATTTGGAAGATGCAATCAATAGTTGCTAAATGTCGTTTATAGCTGAAAGCTTGTTCCAGGGGTATTATTTTCTTTCAAATACTAAGTCTTTATCAGATTAATGAAGTCATAATATTAGTAAGAAACAGTTTTATTTTCAAATGCCATAAGGGCATTAACATATAGTACAATTCTGAGCGCTTTGAACAATAGAGTGCAAGAGTAACTTACCTCTATAGGCGCGACGGGACGAAACGCCACGTGATATTACTGACGTCATCATAATTGCCAAAATTGTCAGCATCATAAACGAAAAGGCGGTCTTCATGGTGATAGTGTAACCAGGGCAAAACAAAGGACTAGAAGGATCTAAAACATGTATGAAAAGAATCCACTGTTTTAATAAAGTGATTTTTAATTCAGTTAACTCATCCCCAAAACAAAAGCAATTCAATGATAAATCATTTGGCTCTAGGTAGTAGATCATACGCTTAGAGTGGCATAGGAAGGTACGGCTGAACCAAGAAAGCACAAGGAGACGCAGTACCTGTGTGTTTTTTTTTCTCAGTTAGAGATTTCGGTTAATTCCCTTTCTCAGTATTCGTCGAGACAACAACTACAGGATTTTTCTACCAACCACCGAGCCATTACAACCAAAAACAAAAAGAGGAAATAATATATAAAGGCCGTTTAAGCCGCGAGTTAAGTTCTTTGTTTAATGCAGTTACTAAAAATGAAAGGCAACATACAATAAGTCAGAGAGTCTAAGTCTTTTTTTTGAATCCTCAGTCTCAATTTCAAGGTGTTTTGATAATAAAACGAAATGAAAACTTTATCAGGTGATGTTGAATGAAAAAAAAAAAGAAAAGAAAAGAACATAAAAAGGATAATTAGGAAATAATCGAGCTACGAATTATTTTTCTTTTAGCGTAACGGATAGACCATTAACAGACAATTTCAGAGAGAAAGAAGACCTCTATTAACGAATTAACATCAAAAAATTTAATTTATCGATGAAAAGCAGACAAACTCTTTTTTGTTAGGGAATAGCAACTCGGTGGACACTTTCAATTTCACCCTTGAACTCTGCTGCTCAAATTTGGCAAAGCATCTTCATTTCCGGCAAGTCCAATTGTGATTATTACCAAGTAAGTCTAATTATGACAATCATGCCATGCAGATTTATTAGTTTTGCTTGCTATGATAAAAAATGGAAAAGTTGAAATAAAGACACAATGGTCGATTATCTCTCGAAAAAAAAAACAAAAACCTTTTAATTTCCAGGCCACTTTTCCACTCCGAATTCAAATCTAACGATTTGGCCGGTTTTTTGAAAGACACGAGCTTGCGAGCTTGGTCAGGTCCTCCAGGAATAGTACAGTAGATAATTATGATAATTTATTCATTGCGCGCAATTCTGACTCATTTGTTTGCAAGCATCAAGCATGAAACATTACATTGCATTTTTTGGCGGCTAAAATTTGTTAGACAATATTAATAACACAAACAGCGGTGACAGACATGGTAAACTGAGCACACAGTTTTGAAACACTGCAACAGTTACCTATGCAAATGTAGGTTATCTTACGCCAGGCCGCTAGCAGTACATGTAAGGTCACAGTAAATTTCATTGTGAAAATGCACTGGTTTTCCTTGTTTATCACAATTGTTTGTGTTTAATTTTCAATCAAATTACGATGGCCTAACTGAACAAGTACTTATGATTTTTAATTATTTCAGTTTAGCGCGTGTTCGTAAACAACCCTAATCCTGAACTAAATGCAATACTAATACTGTGAACTGAACCCCGCGACTGAAAACCTGGTTTTTTTCCAAGTTAGCATAAACAGCTTCTTAATATAAATGGTAGTTATCACAAGTTTAGGCTATTTAGGTTCTTAAATAGGTTATTTTCTTCTGAAGAAAAAAGTACAATATATATAGCTCAGAGTATTTAGTGGTTCAGATTATTCCTCATATAAAATCATTATAAAAAAAATTGAAGTTGTGTAAAAATGAACATCGTTAAAAAGAAGAAACTGTAAATTCTGCAATTGTATCAATGAAAATTTTATTTGATTTAAACAATGGCATTTACATTGCAGCTGGAATGATATGGCACTTACATGTACGTTTCCAAAGGGGACTCTGAATTTTTTTCATTTTAGAAAGTAACAACTTGTTTTAAAGTTTTGGCTGCACTTCCAGTGAGAATTAAGCCAGTTAAAATAGTCTTCTTATCTGCTATGATAAAGTGCTTTTCTGAGAAGTTATCAGATACAAGATCATTAAAAATGGTTGAAAGAATAAGAAGCCTTTTTTTGTGTCAGTCTCAAGTTTTCAAAAGTTACTTGGTCGATTCTACTATGTACTAATGTTATTGTGTAAGACTAGGGAAAGAGGTAAAATTTTTGCGCGGGAGGTTCTCAGCGAAGCCCGCGCGCGCTTTTTTAGACCGAGCTAATTTTCGATCATGAATAAAAAAATAAGACAGGAGACTGTGCAAAGGATTAGATCCCCATCAACATAACATTCTTTGAGTTAATTTGAGAACATATGCAATAACGAGGCAACAATAACTTATCTTTGTCAATTCAAAATCGTAATAATAGGCTCACCTCTTGGGACCTTAAATGATGTTTCCACCACAAGTTCAAGTGACGAACTGATTTGGCTGTATGGACTCACACCAATTAACTAAACGATTCGACAAAGGGTGTATAATCTATTATAATAGACTAATTGCTTAGACTATTTTGACAGGTTGAAGCTAGCCTATTATTCTAAGACAATAGAGTAGCGTTTCTTTTTGTAAAAAAATGAATGTCCTGTGAACCGAAACCTGCGCATGCGGTGTAGGTGCTTCATTTGCTCTTTTCCCGCCAAATTAAGTTGCAAAAATTATGCGGATGTGTTTCTAGCCATAGATGGAAAACTTAGGAAACCCACCTACCGTAAATGCAGTTCTCCTCTCTTGCTTGTTTTGGTTTCTGACTCTTTATGGCGAAATTCCGGCGTACGTTCTGGTCAACTCACCTGTCAGATGCACTAACTAGGGTCCTCGGAGTGTCCGCTTAGTATAGAAGTCACCGTAGAAATTGTCGCATGGTTGGTTTCACAAGAGTGCTTCCACACAGCACGTACACAAATTAGCATTTCATGTAGGATTGTGAAACGGGTTATTAAAATATTTGTATTAGCAATTTATATACCACACTTGATGACCATTGTTAGTAACATATCCACTCCAGCTGAGGTGCACCCGGCACACCAAGCATAATCAACACCATTAATTTATAGCTGTTAATAACGTATTTAACCAGGAGACAATTCTGATTTAACCAATTGCAAAACAAAATACAACTTAAGCATGTAAAAAATAACGATTTAATGTTGCGACGTTTCGGCAACATCATGACGCCATTATCAAGGAATAAAAATGCGAGTTCAAAAGGAGTTAAATACAGCTTGAATAAGAATAATATCTGGGTGCGTAAAATTGGCTTTGGTTGGTTGCCTGGTGTTTCATACCCTATAGCGGAACTAAAGTATTAAACTAAACTTTTCCGCATGAAAATACAACACCTAGAAGTCACACGACTCACGCGAGACGCACGACCCACGATGGTCGTCGCAGGACTCATCACCCACTATTGTGCCTAGGGTAGATCGATTTCCACTTCCGTGTAATTTTAACGTGCGTTCGCGCGAAAATAAAATAGAGGCAAGGCATGAAAGGTCGTGCGTAAACGACAACGATCCCTGAGAAAGAACTTTTTCTATCTCAGCGATCGTTGTCGCTGCGATCGCTGTTATAGCTGCGATTGCTGGAGAGTGGTTTCCATATGATCACTGTGATCGCTGCGATCGCTGAACATTGTTTTTCTCAGCGATCGCAGCGATCGTAGCGATCATATGGAGACCGGGCTTTAGCTTTATACATACGCAACAGTGGAAATCCACCCTAAGCCTATAATCCTCGAATGTGACGGTACGCTGTACTCTGTAAATGTAAGGTTTGATAGAATCAAATTCCGTTCTTAAAGAGTCACAAAAATTAAATTGATGTGAATAATAATACAGTCAGATTGTACAATGCTTATCATCTTTTGCCTCATTTGATAATCATCATATTTGGATTAATGACATTTTTAGGAAGATACAGTTGATGATATCCTGCCAAAAATACTAAATAAGTCACAGTGCAGCTTATACTGGCTCGTTACAGATGATACACGTATCACTCATTATAACTGAATAACAATATCATTCTAATAATAATAATAATAATAATAATAATAATAATGATAATAACTTATTTTATTCAGAGAGGGTAGCACGTAATAACTCTCGATAATCTACAACATTTGCTAGCCCAGGGAGTTGAAATTGCATTCCAGGGCAATTAAATTCACCACCGAGCCCAGATAAGCACTTAATATCTGACTGGATTTGATACAAGCCCTGTAGCCGAACAGAGCTTGGCGCCTTGCTAGGTGTCAGCAGAGAGCCCAGCCCCAGACCTAACTATGAGTGCTTCGCTGGCTTATTTGTGTCAAAAGTAAGGGTAGATTTTTTCACTTTGATAAGAGTTTCAAGTCAGAAAGCAGTGCAAACTCAAAGAATTTTCCCGGTGGGCTAGCCCAGCCAAATCAATGCTCTGACTCATAATCATAATGCTACAAGCAGCCAATATTATTTCCAGGATTCCCCAAGCTCTTCTTACGGTCGCAAAGCCGTATTAAAATGGATAAACATCATGGCAATTTATCTATAGTTTCTATGTTAAGTTATGTTGTTATTTATTTCGTTATTATTAATTTTTGCAAAAATAATTTTTAATTAAAGAGTGTACACCCTTAGGTTCAAAGCAAAATAAAATCCTTCTTTTTGTGAAAGGTCTTGTTTGACAAAACTGAAATTAAAAAAAAGGAAAAAATAACGACTTATTTTTAGTTGATTGACAGCCACGTTGCTACCTTGGTAAAATTAGATATTGATAACCTTACTTTTGCCAGTTTGTTATGTTGTCTGGCAACTTCAGCCCTTAAAATTATAGAATTTGTGACATAATGTCCTGCTTTAATTTAGAGTATCGCACTTGTCATTAGAACGCGTTTAAAATTTACAAAGTTTTTTACCTCCCGGGCGTGCACTTTATCATTATTAAAATGTACCGTAATGAGCAACTCATCTCCTCATTGACAGTAGTCTACGACTGAAAGTCGCTTGCAGCATCTATACTGAGAAGCCGCTGCAACATATTATTTTTAAGTACTCCTTTGTCAAAAAATAGTTTCCGCAAGTCAGTAGATGAAGGTCTTAATC